TACGCGAACAAACCGCGTAGGTTCCGCGGCGGCATCAATGAAATTGTTAATTGCAATTTTAAGTGCTGATTTGCCACGTGCTCGGCGGTGAAGGAAAACATCGTGAGGAAACCTGCATGTCTGAGAAATAAGAAATAAGAAAAAATATTTAGAAGACATGTGGTGTTTGCCAACACGCAAACGATCGGTGGACAATTCCTCGCCGTAAAACCCTCTCAGAAATGAGCTGAAGCCTGTGCCCAGGAGTGGGACGTACATAGGCTGTAACTTTAACTTTTTATTCTGAGAGAGCGTAGTCCTACCCCGGTCGAACCTACCTAATCCATTCGTGCTGCAATCCTAATACAGCTGCAGCGTGACTCTAACACGTAATATAGAGATTACCTTTAGTAAGTTTCAAGTCAATCGCCCCGTAAAATAATAAGTTTCATACAAACAGTATCACCCTATTTCTGCTTTGCTTTTATGCTGCGTTACACATACTACATAGTACTTTTGCACATTTAAATTATTTAGTTTAGTTCAAATAGAGCCCCAATTTCTTTTATGCCCCGGGGCCTTTGGGCCCTTGGCTGCATAGCTACGCCACTGCATATATTATTTTTAAATCACATTAATTTTTTTTAAACTATTTTATCCTACAATTAAATACTAAACGCTAAAAAATTACAAGTGTTTACAAAAAACTATTTACGTAAACAACGTTAAAAATACATCAATCGCCTACAACGCGCTAGCCCCGACTGCGTATTACACCCAAATTCACCCAAATCGCGATTTTATAGTTCACTATATTCGCTATAGATATTAGATGGGGTGACGACCTGGTAAGACATGCAGTAAATCGACGGATGCATGTGGCACAAGACCGTGCTTTGTGGAATACCTGGGGGGGGGAGGCCTATGTTCACTATATATATATGTATATGTGGAATTGTGAAGGGTTGTAATGAAGATGTTGATGATTCAGTTTCGTACACTAAACAATTTTTTTAATCTTTTACCGTTTCCTTAACAACAATTTTTCGATAGTCTCATTTTTTAAACTAATTTTTATAGCTACCACATACAATGACAAATCAAAATTGGTCACGCGTTTTCGGGCTTTCAGGTTGTCTAAGACGCCAGTATATTCTAAGTCTATGGAAAATACATCATGGTCTATGAGAGTTTTTGACAAAAATCTTTTTGCCACTTCCAACAATAATTTTTGATAGTCTTTGTAAGTAAAATGTATATCACTATAGTTCATAAAAGATAGCTTGATCTCTGTCATAGACATTGAAGTAATATGTACTTACGTACTAGAACAGCTATCTCAAACAAAAAAATGTGCGCTACTCTGTGTTCGCGCGTTTGGTTTTTTTATCATAGAATAAACATAGGTAGAATGATCCGTAGGTAATAGTAGATTGTATTGTTAAATAGCTAAATTATATCGAGAACAATATTTAAATTTTGTTATTTATTTTGTGTATTATATTTGTTTATTTAATATAATATTACATAATATTATATCACAATTACATTTTAATGATATTTTTATCTGAATATTTTAAAAGGTATCTATGTCAAATATAAAAAAAAACATACTAAATGTATGTTTAACAAAACTTATTAACATAAAATTTAAATTACAAATATATTTATTTAAATTAGAATCATAAATGCTGTAAATAATCGTTCATAAATGCTGGGCACGCGAGAGTTAAAAATGGATGAATTTATTCCACTTTGACTTTGAAGTGGAAAACTAAAAATAAAATAAAAGAATAGTAAGCGGATTTAAACATGAAAAATTTAGCCTAATTATAATAACTTATATATTTCTACAAAAAAAATGTGTATAATAATATATTCGTCCTAAACTTAAGTACCCACAGAAATGTCGCATCTGAACATATTAATTTCATAATCTATATTCAATGATACGAGATGGCGTCTTAGGAATAATTTTTTTTATTATTAATTTATAATACTTTTTTATTGAATAAGTATCTTATTAACCGATGAAAAGTAATTCCTTGGTTTTTACTGACATTTCTTGAATTATTTGTGCAATATCTAAGTACACAAGACGGCATATTTTTATCAAGAGATTTTTTTTTAAATCAACACAACACGTGACAACTCTACAAGCGCCTAGCGAGTGACTGAGTAAAGTGCAGTGCATGCACCGCAGTTGAGTGGAACAGAGTAGCTGAATGCAGTGTCTCCTCTAGTACGTAGTACATAATAGCTCAATGGTCATAGATAAATAAATATGTAGCAGCTTTGTGACAGCTGTCAGTAAAATCACGCCTATGAAGCACTGAATTTCTTAGTAGTACAGACAGTACCTGTCAATGTTATACTTTATGGGCATGCCGACCTAATTAGTGCATGCCCATAAAGTATGACATTGACAGGTACTGTCTGTACTACTAAGAAATTCAGGACTTCATAAGCGTGATTTTTACTGACAGCTTTCGCAGAGATCAAGCTATCTTTTATGTTATCATATATATTACAGCCCTTGTACTGCGCATAGGCCTGTAATGCCGTCTGACACCTGATCATCGACTTACAGGTGTACTCCATCTAGTGGGGGGTGCACTACGTACCGGTACGAGGCTGCCTGAGAACCTTCTGATGTTTTCGAGATATGCGGATTGCACTTCACGGTTGGTCTGGATATTTTCTCTAGCAGAGAAACTCGAGACTCTTGCTTGAGGACCTTAGGTCCTCATACGGCCAGCAGTGAGGTTCAGATCCGTAAGTTCTGACATCTAGTTGTCTTTTATGAACCATAGGTAATTATTTGACGCAGGTAGCAAGAGTGACAGAGGCCTGCCCTGGATGCCTCGCGATTGTAGGTAATTATTTCATGCTGGTAGCAAGAGTGACAGAGGGCTGGTAACAGTTAGTTCAGTATTTTCTTTCTTCAAGATTTAAACACAACCTAAATAAATAAAGTCCACTTAGCTCTCATTCATTTACACAATAGTTTCTTTAAGTTTATTAGTCAGACAGATATCACAATTTTTTAGTTTCTTCTTTCTTCACTAAAATAAATTACAATAAATAATTAGTCAAATACAGTCCACTTAGCTGTCCATCAACTACAATACATATCAATGATAATCGTTAATAGCAGTGTTCCATTTCAGGCTTACCACGTACTAATTTTATAGCTAGTTGTGGGGTAAAATTTTTCCTCACACTTGTAACCCTAAATATAGTGACGTATTTTTTTTGTCTCTATCTGCGACACGCTATGGCGGTGTCTATAGGATTCTCTGTCTACGCCGTAGACAGAGAAACCTATAGACAAATTGACGCCTTCTTTCGCATTCGCACACGAAAAAGATAGATTTATGCATACGTCTTGCATAGAAATGAGATAGAGCGGTGTGATTGTTTGTCCCTTTCTCCGTGCCGGTTTTTTTATTTAGCAAACTCTACAGTTTGCTAAACAACTTTAACAGCGTAGTGATTTAAGGAGTTTACAAGTTGATTTAAGTGAGAAAAAAGTGTTTTGTGAGCTTAAGATTGGTGAATTTTGTTCAGTTCAGTTCTTAGAACAATTAAAATTTTTATCTAAATGTGTTTAAAAGTCATAAAGATTATTGTACATAACCTAAAAATTCGTTATCGTCCTTTCTCACTCGAGGCCACGCCGATCATTAGTCTATAGGTTTCTCTGTCTACGGTCTACGCATAATATCCTCTTATCCATAGATAAGGGTCTCTGGTATATAGACTATATACCAGAGACCCTTACCTCTTAGTAGTCTATGAGTCCAGTGCTGCCGTTTTAGCGCATTTGGCGCTAGATCTGGTGCAATTTTAGGGTCTATAGTGCTTTTTTGTAAATATCTGAGCGTTAAAAAATATCCAGTGGAATCTGGTGGAAAATTTGCTATTAGTTGGCATTGGCAGCACAGTATGATGAAAAACAATAATGAGTCTCTCATTCGGGTATTCTCCAACCAAAATGTTGCTGATGTGTTAATTATTTTATCTCCCTTTCGGATTATGGTATTATGTAGCTGATTTGCTTTTCATTGTATTAATCCTCTAAAATTTAATACCTGAGAAGAACTAATTTTTCCCACTATCGAATTTCGTGTTAGTCTTTCAGCTCAGTTTTGTTGGTTTCGTGAAAAATTTATATATATTTGCCACCAAGGAAGAAGGCTTACAGCCAGAAATATACATCTGAGTGGGAGCAAATGGCATGGAATTCAATTGATCAAATAAGGTTTTGGTGATGATATAGTGAAATTTTGGGCTCAAGTCTCCAAATACAAAAATGCGGCTAGAATGCTAGCTGATTTTCGGCATTATGCACATTGTCAAAAGTAAGCCACGTAAGCGCATGTTAGCTGAAACAGTGAACTCAAATATAATGATACGTCATCAGTAAAAACAATCTGAAGCAAATCTGTCACACGCAGACACCTGAAAATGTCCTCGACAAATTACTAAAACTGTAAAGAAAGGAATAGAAGCGTTTGTAAGCTAATCATCCGCATCTGAAGGTGATAATGACCATGAAGAGGTAGTGGAATTGTCTAATTTAGTTGATTTTAGAACTTACGTAAATGATATCTTTAAATAGCATTTTTTCTTATTTCCTTATACATTTATAGGATACAACTTAGCGGAATTTGGTAGATTTTAGAAAGCATAATTTTGTAAAATATAGTGCAATTTTGATAAGGGTTTAGCGCATCTTTTTTTCTTCATACGGCAACACTGTATGAGTCTGTGGTTGTTTCACAAATTGACAAATTCTATTTGCTTTGCTACATTGATTTGTTGACTAAATACTTTTGTAAGAGAGTGAGTAAAATCGTAGTGAAAAAATTCCTCTTTGTATACATAGTATAGCTCTTATGTGTAATAATAATTATGAAAAACGAAAAATGAAGAATAGTACAATCTTAATCGAGTCAGATTTTAATAGTTTAGTCGTTGATATATTATGAAATTGTTAATATGTTAAACGTACTATGATGAACGGCGCTAGCGGTCTTAACTCGCAAAGTTCATTGATAAACACTTCTAATTCTGGTGTTATCCATAGCCCAACTAGTATGAAGGTTGAAAACATAAGTCGAGCCACAACTTCAAAGGACAACACCCGTGATAGCTCCGAAGACCTGCTAGATCTCAAAGGAAAAGTTGAATCAAGGTTGCTATCGATGTGGAATAATGTAAAATTTGGATGGACAGTAAAATTAAAAACTACATTTTCAAAAGAATCCCCAGTATGGCTCTTAGGACGCTGCTATCATCGAAAGTTAAGTCCAAGTGGTTCTCTAGAATCTTCCACAGAAATTGGAACTGAAGCAACAGCACATAATCCTATGGAGCAGATATATGGAGAAGGTATAGAAGGATTTAAGTCTGACTTTGTTAGCAGAATATGGATGACATATAGAAGAGAGTTTCCTATTATGTCTGGTTCTACATTTACTACAGACTGTGGGTGGGGTTGTATGCTGCGCAGTGGGCAAATGTTACTAGCGCAAGCATTGGTGTGTCATTTTCTAGGACGTTCTTGGAGATGGTTACCAGACCGAACTATTCAGAATGCCAGAGAATTTCAAGAAGATTGTCTCCATCGTATGATAATAAAATGGTTTGGAGATAAATCATCTGTAAATAGCCCTCTATCTATTCATCAAATGGTTAATTTGGGAGAAGCCTTAGGAAAGAAGCCAGGGGACTGGTATGGTCCAGCTTCTGTGGCACATTGCTTAAAGGCTGTAATGAGTGCAGCTTCTAAAGAAAATTATGAGTTTGATAACTTAGAAGTGTATGTTGCGCAAGAATCTACAGTTTATGTTCAAGATGTAAATTCACTTTGCCTTCTCCCTAATGGTGCTTGGAAATCCCTTATCCTGTTAGTGCCCGTAAAACTAGGAACAGATAAATTAAATTTAATTTATGGTCCTTGTTTGACCTCACTTCTCACTTTGGATTTTTGTATAGGTATAATTGGAGGACGGCCTAAGCACTCGTTGTATTTTGTTGGATATCAAGACGATAGACTCATTCACTTAGATCCACATTACTGCCAAGAGATGGTTGACGTATGGCAACCTAACTTTTCACTTCAGTCATTTCATTGTCGCTCACCGCGAAAAATGCCTATTAGCAAAATGGATCCATCATGTTGCATTGGTTTTTATTTAGCTACCCATCATGATTTCGAATCATTTGTAAATGTCATAAAATCATTTTTAACTCCTCGAGGAATGTTATCAAGCAATGAATACCCCATCTTTTCAATTAATTATGGATCTCGTAATACAATCATGAATCCACCTCAAATAAGATACTCTATATATGAATCTGAACCAAATTGGGCTACTACAGCAGTTCAAGATAGTGATACTGATTTAGAATCAGAAGAATTTGTTCTAGTGTGATATAATTCTTTTTTTATAGAACAAATTAGTTGAATTACATCATTAGTTTCTTTTAATTAATTTAAAGAGGGAATAATAAACAAACTATGTTTAATCATCATCATCATTATTACAGCCCATTACAAGTCCACTGCTGAACCTCCTCCTAGGCCTCCCTTAAGGAATGCCCACAAAGTTGTCAAATATTCACACACCATTTCAAATTGACTATTACATATTAAAAATGTGGTATATTGTAAATGTTGTGTAATATTATGTGAAAAATGATCATTGTTTAAAATTTGATTGGGATGGAGAAAACACAGGTACCCTTCTGTGAAGGTACTTTTATAAATTATGCTTTATCTTAGAAACGAGGATACCATAAATTCATCAAGCCAAAGATTAATAAACTGGGTCAATGTAATCAATATTCTATAATAGAACAAGTGTTTCAATTTTATTTTAATTATAGTAATAATTAATTTAAATTCTAAAATTGGAAAACACCAACACAAGTACTTAAAATTCAGATAAATAAAAATATAAAATTGTTTACTAAGAATTAATTTATTATTTAGCATAGATCTACATCATTTTGATGTACTTACTAATAATATTTTTCAATCAGAATTTAAAAAAATACTATTAAATGAAACTAGGTAAGGTTTCTTGCTATTTTTTATTATTTAAGGATGTAAAACTTATAAGTTTCTTGTAAAAATATACTTACTCTATTATCACATATTACTTTTATTCTATCCACAACCAAATCCATGCCTTAGGGTTTAAGGGACAACAATAAACACATTATTAATTCATATTCTTTATTCTGTCAATATTCATCCTCTATATATACCTAAATATATTTGGTTGTTACTTATTTCTTAGAAATTGAATTTTTTTGAAAATAGCGCATGGCATTATAAACAAGATGAGGTGCAATATTGTGCAGTGGATGTACACTTTTGAGCTCATTAGTAGGAGAGCCCACAACAAAAGAATTTCCCACACTGGTACCATGCTGTGCGACTGACAAACCACTTAGAGTGTAACATGTATGATAAATATCTCTAGGCCTGAAAAAATAATTCTACAATTACAAAATATTTCAGAGATATGTATAAAAAATACTTGAAATCATTTACTTACTTGCCAGGTTTATCAATAAGCCCCCCATCTGGTGATTGGCAACAAATTATAATATATTCTTGTAAGGCACCTTGGTTAAATAGAACTGTTTCCACAAATTCTTTATTTTCTGAAAAAGTAAAGAAATACATTGATATAATTTTAAAATTTGACTCTGTTTTTACATTTAATTTTATAACTTACCAACCTTGAGAAAAAATTGCACTTATAATTGGAAAAATAGCTCCTTGCCAAAACGAGTAGCAGCCATCAACTAATTTATTCGTTCTACCTTGAAACCCTCCTTCAACACGCATTTGCCGATTGACACACCACCTATGTAGAGCATCTACATCACACAACTGTGTTCTATTTAAAAGAGCCAATGCTGAAACACCACAAAATGCATATCCACCATGTGCTTCCATGCCAGGACATCCAGCAAATCCACCTTCATAAGTCTGACAACTTACAATCCACTCTGCAGTTTTATCAAATAAAGCATCTGAATATATGTTGGTCAGTTTTGCTACACTAATAGCACAATAAGCTCCTCTTATGTCCCGTTCACCACCTTTGTGGAGTGCAAAGGAGCCATCAATATCACGAACTGCCCATAAGAACTTTAGTAAGGAATTTATATTGATTGATTTATAAGCTTCCTCTGTGCCAATAATACAAAGAGCATTTATAGCTGCATAAGTTGTACCCAAATGAGCAAACTGGCTAGGTCCACCTCCATATCCACCATCTTCATGTTGGCAGTGAGAGAGAAATTGAATTACATTAGATAAAACCTTTGCATCAGGTAAATCACTTAATATCCATAATGCATGTAAAATCCAGTATACTAGCCATGGTCTACTTGCTTCCAAGCACCTGTAACTTTTAGGTAAATTTAACAGCCAACTTTTTAGTAATTTGCTATGTACATTTCTGTTAAGCTTTGGCAGATAAGGATCAATTGATGCCTTAGATTCAAATTGTTTAAATATTTTTAAAACCACAGTTTCAACATCAATCTGAAATTAAAAATTAATATAAATATTTCTTAAAATTATTAGTCTTTAAGACATGCTATAAGGATATTTATTGAAATACTACTGCTATGAGGCATTTTATCTTGAGCCGTGGTAGCTCAGAGACTAGTGCTAGCTGTAAATTTCACAGTATGCGAGCAACTAGGGTTCAATCCCTGCTGACAACAATGAAATTGTTAATTGCAAGTATTTAAGTGCTGATTTACCATGTGCTCTGCAGCACAGTTTAAAGATAGTCTAACAGTTGAGAATCGTTTTTGACATTTACATTGTCATCCCTGAGGACCATGGAATGTCTTGTTTCCAGTAAAGAAGGTCCCCAATTCTCTAAACTCACCATATGAAACACATATTTTATGCAGGAGTTCTGTGAGTGTGCTTCTACCCCGATCCAGTCGATCTATTTGTGCTAAAACCATAATAACATAGCTGCAGTTATGGCTCTACCACATAGAGTGTATGCTAAGGGTTGTCACGAAATTGGGAATAAAATCATTTTGGATATTACTATAGTCATGATCATTTATTAACATTATGTGCATACTTATATATTAAAAATATTTATTGAAGAAGATGACATTTACTTTTTATAGATGATATAGATGTTTTGATTGTTTGATTATGTAGTGTATTTGTATTCGGATAAACAATTTTATCAAAAACAAAATGAGGGAAACATAAGCATCAACTTTACTTAATAACTCAAGTCAGTAACTCACAATTATAGATATTATATTTCATAAAAACAGCATTTAAAATAATTTCGGCCCCGAAAAGCCCCCACCGTTGCACTGCATAAGTACATTTATTTCCCAACTGTTAAACTATCTTCAAACTGTCGTCAGTGAAAGAATAAAGTATGAAGAACCCTGAATGTCTGACAAATAAGAAAAAAAATTCAGACGTGAAGTTCGACAACACGCATTGGGGCAGCACAGGGGACATTTTCTTGTCCTAACATCCTCTCAGAAATGTGAGGCCTGTGCACAGCAATAGCAGAAGTCTGCCCCAGGTGCCTATGGGCTGCAGAAGCCACTTGCCATCAGATAGACTGCAAGTTCATTGATCACTTTAGTTTTATAAAAAAGCCGTGTTGTTTGATTAAAGGCAAAGGAAACACATGTTATACCTGTTCAGAAGATGTGCTTGATATAAAATTCTCATCATCATAAATTTCACTTGCAATATCACTAAAAAGTCGAATATGGTTTTCCATTGTTGTTACAGACTTTTTCAGTAGGTTTACACTAAATTATCCTGGTTCATTATATATTTAAATGTTTTAAATAATAATGCAGATTGAGATTACATGTTGTAGATTTAGTATCATTAGTATTATCCATTTAAAAACTCCGCCCAAACGATAAAAAAATCGCAGGTAACGTAGTTTATTTGCAAGGCGGTGCAAAGCTTTCACGACGAAATCACAGCACAAACTCAGAATGGTTTAAGTGCTCTGCTCCGAATAAAGTAAATGAAAGTAAATCTGGAGAGTAGATGTAGTACGAAATTACTATTTTAATCTTAATATGCTTTATCGCATAGATAAATATATATGTAAAAATAATGTTCTGTGATGTAAATTGTTTGATTGTAGATGTAGAAAACATAGATAAATAAAATGTAGAAAACCTGAATAACCATAACCATAGAGTAGTATGTTCCTTGAGAATAACCTTTGAGTTTGATTATGATTACAGACATATTTATTAATCTGTGGCATAGATAAATAAGTAAGTAACAAAATCTGTGGTTACAGCGTAGAAAGAGATTTCTCTATCTACGGCGTAGACAGAGAAGTCTGTCTACGGTCTACGAGTTACAAACTAAGCTTTTTTTCCTGATTTAGCGAATGGCAACTGATGGATCTGCCAGCGTCAAGTATTTTATTTCATGAAGGTTTATAGTCAACCCGCTCTGTCTACGAGTCAACCAAATCTAAGAAATACCTTTTGACGTTTCGCATTAATCATTCCGCAATAACTTTGCACAAGCGTACTTACACGATTTAAAATAACCTTTTACGTAATTCCGATGAATTATGAAGTTATCTATGTTTCATTACAACGTGTACAGTTTTTTATCACTAATTTAAATTCGAATCTTTCAAACAAACCAAAATATTAAAAAGATAACCAGTATCAACTTTTTTAATTGACGTCATTTCAATCATATGTCGCTTTGTACGTTACCGTAGTGTTTGGATGATTGAAATTTATTGTTATGTGAATAATCGACAAAAATATTCAATTAATCGGTTAAAATATTCAAATAATCGAATCATTATTTTTAATGAACTATTTGTTTAATTAAATTTTTATTTTAAATTCCAATTACATAAATCATGATAAACAAGTTTTTTTTGGCCAAAAAAAACTACAAGGCCGCGCTGAAAAAACCATTACGTAATTTTAATCTCCCGCCGTTTCAGGAGCTTACTATGCGTAATTTTTTGATTTTTTTTTTTCTTGTTTTGTGACTCGGATTTAACTTTTGGGCTGTTTCTTCTATATTCGTTGAAGCATATGCCCATATTTGGCAAAAGTGGTAGAAAAAACTAAGAAAATGATTACAGATGACTTTTTCGATTGAAAATCGAATAATAATTAATCTAAACAACGTCAGCTCAACTAGTTGTACGTGAAGTAATTGAATTTATTTTTAATCTAGTGTCAATCTTAAAATTTTATAACTATGCTTCTAGAAATAAGCAGTCACAACAAATACGAAGAAACTAATAAATGTAATAAATCTTTTGTTTTAAATTATCCGGTTTTAATTTATTCTAGTATTATATAAACCAACCTGTAAATGATTACCAACTCTAAAAGATCGATATCGATTTTTTTAAGAATCGAATATTGTATGTTTTCTTTTTATAGTTCGCATGCTTGGTGCAATAAGTCTGACAGCTGTCAAAATGTAATTAGATTTGGTTGCTAATGGATTGGATACCAATTTTTAGTTATATAATCTTTACACATTTAGATAAAAATTTTAATTGTTTAAGAACTGACTATTGGTTTTCTCACTTAACCAACTTGTAAACTCCTTTGTTAAAGTTGTTAGCAAACTTACAGTGGTTTATTTTATGAGGTTTGTCTATAGTTTTATGTTCTATAAGTCAATATTCTTTTAGTCAGTGAGATTTAGAATATACTGGCGTATAGACAACCTGACAGCTCGAAAATTATATACTCTTTGTCTACATCTACCATAGAATTATTACTAAAATAAAAATAATACAATGATGCGTAAGCAATGCACTCTTTGCGCATAAGCATCGTAATTAAACGTAGTGACTATATTCTCTTTAATCGTAATCACAAACTAAAATCTTCTATAGAGTTTAGCTCTATCATAAATATATGTAGAGAAAAGTTACAGTGCTCGACAGTTACTATACTCTTTGATCTACGTTAGTACTCTTATTATAAGAGTAGAGAGTCTTATAGTAAGAGTACTAATAATCAACCAAATCTAAGAAATACCTTTTGACGTTTAATAATCATTCCGAATAACTTTGCACCAGCGTATTCACACAATTTAAAATAACTTTTTACGTAAATCCGGAGAATTATGAAGTTATCTATATTTCATTACAACGCGTATAGTTTTTTTTATCACTAATTTAAATTTGAATTTTTCAAACAAATCAAAATATTAAAAAGTAACCAGTATTAAGTTTTTTTACTTGACGTCGTTTAAATGATATGTCGCTATGTATAATACCGTACTGTTTGGATGATTAAAATTTATCGTCATGCGATTGATCGGCAAAATATTCAAATAATCGGTAAAAATTTTCAAATAATCGAATCAATTTTTTTTAATGTATTATTTGCTTAATTTAATTTTTATTTACAAAATTCCTTAAATTACACGAATCATGAATAAAACAAGTTTATTTTTTTTACTTCGTCAAAGTAAATTTGTGTAGGCAAAATAACTCATTTAAAAGGCCGTGCTAAAATAACCACTACATAATTTCAATATCCCGCCATTTCGGTACCAGTTACTTGACTCCACACAGTCAGTAATTCATTCTTGAAGCGATATATACGATTTTACAACAAAATCCTAGAAAATATACAACAATTGACGTAAGTACACAAATTTTAAAAACTTTATTAAACTAAGTTTGTATAAAAAGGGTTATTTTAATATTAAGGAATTTATGGATGATAATGACTGCTGGGAAAGGTGATCGCTACCACGCTATTTCTAATTTGTTCTGTGTTGTTAATTGTAACACGCATGATTATAAGCTCTTATTTAAAAAAAACTAGTCCCGTTGGGTTTCTTGCTGGTTCTTCCCAGGACAGAGGTTCTTTTTGCGAACCAGTGGTAAATGAAAAAGTGACTTTCAATAAGTATTATTCATAATCTATATTGAATAAAAAAGTTTCTGTTTCGAGAGTTTATTGTGCGTAATTTTGTGATTTTTGTTTGTCTGCTTATTTTGTGACTCTGCTTTAACTTTTTGGACTGTTTCTTCTATAATAATTTTTATGCATGGTAGAACCATGCTACATCTATATTATAGTTGTAGCACGAATGGGTCGGCTCAACCGGGGCAGGACCACGCGCTCACAGAATACCAGCGTTGAATAGCAGTGTAATGCTGCTGTGTTTCGTATGTTGAGTGTAGAGAACCGGAGACCCTTTTTACTGGAATCGAGGCATTCCATCTTAATCCTCTGGGGTGACAACGCATTTACATTTTGATTCTTAATTGAGAATAAATATGTATGTCTCATATGTATTGCCATAGCATCCACTTACCATTAGGTGGACTGTGTGCTATATATTTGTTGAAGCATCCGTCCTTGTCACAAAGGATGATTGGGAAAAAGTGGTAGAAAAAACAAAAAAATTGACTATGGATGACTTTGAAAGAGACATTAATTTTGACTCATTATTGAAAATCAAATAATAATTAATATAAACAAAGACATCCCTACTAGTTTTACTGAAAGTGATTGAATGAATTTATTTTTAAACTAGTTTCAATCTTAAATTTTTATAACTGTGCCTCTAGAAATAATCAGTAACAACAAATACGAAGAAACTGATAAATCTAGTGTTTTAAATTATCCGTTTTTAATTTATTCTGGTATTATTCAAACCAAGCTAAATGATTACCAATTCTAAATAATCGATATCGATCTTTTTAAGAATCGAATATTGTACGTTCCCATTATTTGGTTGGCATGCTTGGTGTAAGGGTGGGCATTAAATGAACGAACAGTTTTTTCGACAGTTTATTTGCCATCGACTGTTAGACCGGTTTATAGTCTACTGATAAACTAGTTTACCCGTGAACGACATTTTGCATCGCGCACATACACCGTTTAGTGTTTGCCGAAAGCCGAAACTGTTTCGCTGGTCACTCGTCGATCAAGCATTCCGTTCTCTTCACACCTGCTTGTTTTGACGATTATCTCTCTTTCTCCACGTGCTCGACTCTCGAAATATTGAGTGGGAGGTGTTTTGTAAAAATAAGCTCTATTTCAATGGAAAAATATATGATATATACATGTCAATATAAGGCGTAGGCAGGTTTTTGAATTTCGTTTACGTTAGTTTTTATTCTCGAACTCTCCATTGAAATACGCTTTGCATTGGTCAAGGTTAAACTTAAATAAGTTTAACCTTACTAAATTACCATTAATATTAAACTAAATAGTAACTACTAAAGTGTAAATAATTATTCAAAGTAGGTTTAATTTCTAGTGTTAATAATAACAATGTGAACAGTAATAGTGTTTAGTGTTAGGTATTTAAGTGGTTAAATAGTGTTAATACTTTGGAGTGCGCTGTTAGTCTATACGAGCTTCATCTGAGTCAGGGCTCGCGGATGAAGCTGTAAGAGTCGTATAGACTAACAACGCTAACATCCAGTAAATCGATATTAACACTATTTAACCACTTAAATACCTAACACAACACTAAACACTTTTACTGTTCACATTGTGTTAATATTAATTATGTCGGCGTAGGCCCGTAAAAACAGTAGTGTGATATGGGCACCATTTTGAAAAAGACAATAAAACTTTTAAAGCAACGTGTAATGAATGTAAAGATGTGTTAAGTTTTAAGTCATCCACTGCAAATTTATTAGCGAAAACTTTGTTCAATTAGCGAAAACGTAGAACGACGAGTAGTTTATATTAACGTAAACTATTCTTCGATCATGTTTCGTCGACAGCATAAACTAGTCGAAAAAAAAACTGTTTTATAAACTAGTTTATCGTTGACGATAAACAGTTTCGTTTCGTCGACGACCCATTCCTAGCTTGGTGCAATAACTCTGACAGCTGTCAAAGGGTATTTCTTAGATTTGGTTTATAGTTTGTGGTATAATCATATCTGTATTCCATGACATCTACAACTGACATAGGCTCAGAAGGGCTAGAACCCAGAGCTGTAAGACAGTTAAAAAAACAACTGACATATTTTTTTTACATATTTTTTTTTTGGGTTTTTTTTTTTTATTTTTTTTTTTTTTTTTTTTATAAATTATTTTTTATTTTTTTTTTTTTTTTTTTTTTTATTTAATAAAAAAAAAAAAAAAAAAAAAAATAAACCAAAAAAAAAAAAAAAAAAAAGGGGGGGGGTTGATATGTATGCAATTATTCTTTTTGATTTTTAATTAATTGAAGAAATAATAAACTACTCTAAAGAAAGAATAGGTAATTAAATAGTATGACTGATGAATCGGGTGATATTTCCATGAGGACATGGATCCGCAATGTCGGACCTATCAATAAGGTAGAGGGAAGGTGAGTTATTACTTTTGAGATTGAAATCATATCTACGCCTTTAATGTTCCTATAATTATCTTTTAGGTTGGTTTCTCTGATGGTGTTACTGACGGTCAGGCAGCAACATATCAGTCTAGTTTTGATACAGGATATGAACAAGGATTGAACTTTGGATTCTGCCTAGGAGTTATTGATACTAAGTAAGTTTATTTAATTTTGGATTTTACAATAATTATATTCAAATGGTTAATATATTATTTAAAAAATTTACCCTTGTCAAATTTTAGAACAAAATTTGTGCAGAAAAAGGAGCATAATTTGAGGGACCCAAGGGAAATCAACTGCCAAATTTGCATAAAAAATTCATTGGAAGGTAATTTAGTCAATTTGTTTAATTTACAAAAAGAGAAAAATGATGAATATTTAGATAGTCAAGGAATGAAATCATGAATAAAGGATTATTTTTAACAAGTTTAATAATCAGTTTGTTTGGTGCATGTAATTGAAAAGTAATAAAGTATGTTTTCATTTTATATTTTATTTAATCTAAAAAATAAACACATTAAATATGTGATGGGATGCAATCAACTAGCAGCTTAGTACAGCAGACTTAAACTTTTCTATTAGAGCTATCAGCGCTCATAAAACATATGATCCAGGTCCCAGGATGTAAACATCAGCACTCTTGAAAAGAAGTATAATTGAGATCTTGAGGTCGTACAAAAGAGTCATATCCAAGTCAAAGTCAGAGCACATCGACAGAATTGGTGAGGTAGGTGGACTGATTTAACTTCCTTTGCGAACCTGTTTGCTGTCACAGATCCCTCGTGCTCTCTGTAATAGGAGGGATCTGTGACAGCAAACACCTGGCCACCGAGCTTCAGCACGTCAAGCAAGTTCTGCACGACAACAAGCTTCGGGTCCCGCGCCTACATCACAGTGACCGAGTGAAGCCGGCCACAGTCGAGCGTGTGCCTGCTGTACTACCATATGTCAGAGGTGTCACAGACAAGATTGGCTACATCTTGAAGCGAGCTTCTATTAGAACATTTTACAAGCCGCCGAAGAAGATTAGTCAGTTCCTACCATCAGTCAAGTGTCATATTCCTCTACAAGATGCAAGAGTGTACAAGCTTGATTGTGAATGTGGTCTCTCTTATATAGGACAAACAAAAAGATCAATTAGAACCCGCGTAAAAGAACATATAGCTGATGTGAAGCATCAACGTTCCGGGAAGTCTGCAGTTTGCGATCATATCCTAGATGGCCCCAACCATTACATCAGATTTGATAGACCACAAATCCTCGCGAAAGAACACCGATTCCTACCAAGGATGATACGTGAGGCTATTGAAATTAAAAAAACATCCTAATTTCAATAGAGAAGGAGGCTGGGTACTACCACCTGCTTGGGATCCTATAATCAATAAAATTAAAACTAAACCCAAGCATACCACTGCAAGACCTCAGGACATAGTTCATTTTGCATAGATCGGACCATAAACAATAATTAAAAAAGCTGAAGGTACTCCGGGTTTAACAATGACATCTGGACGTCAGTCATCCAAGTCTCCCGTGACCATGGGTGCTGGAAAGCGCCCGAAACGTCGGGAATTAAAAATAATAGTAAAATAAACGCAATAAAATCCGTAAAAGTAGTTTTAATCAATGTGTAGTGTTCGCGTAAAAATAAGAAATCATTATGTGCTGAAGATGTGTGCTCCTGAGTTGGCATCAGTTCTAAAGTGTCGTTTCTGGTACTCTTCCCTGAAACTGGCCTTCCATAAATTTAGGGCTGTTGAAGGCATAGTCCCAAATTCGTGGAAGACCATTTTGGTCCACCCTACCCCTAAAAAAGCGACTGCTCTTATCCATCCAACTACAGCCCTATTGCCATCACCTCTTTGTTCTTCAAAATAATTGAATTTTAAACTGAACCTTGAGGGCCACCAGCTGATTAACCGCCAATAAGTTTTCAAGGGGTCAATTAGCTAGTGATCTTCTGGTCTGCTTGATGCAGAGATATTAGTATTGTTCTAGGGGGAGATCTTAGCCATTAGTTTAGTTAAGGATTACTTTGCCGAATACTGGAACAAACTTATGTCTGAAGTTGAGTCTTAAACAAAGTCTCGGATTGGGGATGACTAAGTCTAGTTCACAAGTTTGCGCATTTGCTGCTAAAAAGAACCTCTTTATCATGTCTCCTCAGTTTCAGGGCACTCCCCTTGTTGACTCAGCCAGTATCAGAATTCTCAGTGTTGACATATCAAATGACATGCAGGTTCGTGGTTACTTAGAAGGGAAGGTTCAATTTGCCTCTAAACAAGTTCTAAAAGTAAAAATTTGAATGAGAACATCATCAATGTATTGAAAGTCAATTAAATACGCATTATGAAGAATAACCATAAACAGTTAGTCAGATCTGGATCAAATGTATATGGGAGTCCCAAGGGGACTATGGGACCACATGGGAAGCACCAGCTTTTAACGAAGAATCATCAAAAACTTGGTGTGTTCAGTAGAGCGAAACAATATTTCACGACGGCACACTTCTTGCAACTTTAAAAGGAACAGGTTCGACCTCATTTGAAATACTGCTCTTATCTCTGGGTACTTAACGCAGTGCCAGCTCCTTCCACTTGACCGTTTCCAGTGCATAGCAGCTCAAATCGTGGAAGGCCAAGTTCTTTCTGATTGGCTCAATTCACTGGCACTGTAAAGCGATGCTGCCTTCTCTATCCTTTTGCATTTTCTATCGCATTTACCACAGGGAGAGCTCTAAGGAATTGTTCGGATTAATTCCAGCCGCTAAATTTAACTACCATACATCGTGACAAAACTGCTTGGCGGTCCACTACTGTGCATTTAACTAGGAGTTTTCTTCCTTGTACAATCTCTATGTAAGAATCATTTACCATCTACAAATTTGCTGGATACATATGACTAAGGGACATTCAAGAAAAGAGTTAACTCCTTTCTAAAAGGTCGGCAACGCACCTGCATTTCCCCTGGTGTTGCGGTTGTTCATGGCGACGGTAGTCAATTACCATCAGGTTAGCCGAATATTTGTTTGCTCCCTCTTCTGTAAAAAAGACTTGTAATGGGTTGTAATTGGAAATTACCAAATGCATTAAATATAATCTTATAGTTTTAAGACATGTTATAAAAAATTAAAACTTTGTGGTCAAATAGAACTAAAATAATTTCAGTAAGATTTCTCTTCCTTTAATTAATGAATTCATATTTCAAAATAAACTACTGGTCTGCATGCATTAATTTTTCAATCGAATACATAACATTACAAATTTCTTGGTTTCTTCTCTGGTGGGGGTTTCATGTTTTCCTGCTTAATTTCTGTTTTAATTTCCACATGCCCCTGCATTGAGCCATTTGTCATATCTGAGCTAATAGTGTCTGCAGGTTCTTGTTTAATGGTTATATTGTTTACACCACTATTTTCTAAAGCTTTGTCCTTATCATTTGTATTTTCTGTCTTCACTGTAACACCATTTGTCTGGAATTTTGAAAAGTAGATTTTGTAATAAATTAAAGTTCAACAAACATATTAATTTTCATTCATAGCAATTCTAAACAGTTTCACTGATCAATAAAGAAATTATATTAAATGAATATTTAAATAGTTCAATGGGAATCTTATTTTTTTATATTTTAACTGTTCAAATACATAATTATATAGTATATTTCATTAGTAGCTTGATAGTAAAAAAAACCCATAACTGGACAAGGACTACTACCTCTTTAGGGAGTTTCAAAATCGCCATGTTTGGTCAGATTGGTGGTGACCCCCTCTAACAGCGCTCACATAATCCAATTGATAGATAAGAAAATAAAAACATATTGAGTTTTTAAACAATGGCAAGTTTACTTCAATTTCCTAATATTGATTCATATTATCATCTTAATCTTAATATATATAAATTAAGTGTCAAATTGTTTGTCCGTGATGGACTCCTAAACTACTTAATAGATTTTTATCAAATTTACACACCATGTGCAGTTTGGTCCAACTTGAGAGATAGGATAGTTTTTTCGCCCATGAGGGAGGGACCCACAATTTTTTTTTGAGAAGTTAAGGATTAATAGGACATGACAAAGGGTTGTCGAAAAGGGCAGAACAACATAATATTATATCAGTAGTGGAGCGCTGTAAGAGGCAACAGAGAAGAACCAAAATAGGCAATAGGCAGCAGCATCTTTCTGATATCACCTCAAAGGACTTGAAAATGAAGTTGCCCACCCTCCTTACAAATGTGGGAACTATGGCAAAATCCTATGAGGCTATCTACGGGATAAGCCTATGTACAGCAGTGGACTTTCAATAGGTTGTAATGAATGAAAAACAATGGTGCAGTTTAACGAAAGAGCTGTATAATATATCCTTCATATTTAGTTCTGCTAATTTAAATTACAAAGATAAAATTAGTCACCTGACTTGAGGTAGCAGGTGTTACTGGAAGTGGAAACTGCCTCACTAATTCTGCAAGCAACATGTCAACTCTTTGACGCTGGAAGAGTGTGGAGGGTTCTTCCTTGGGTGTATTTGATGTTTCCTTAATAGCTGGCTGACTGGTGTTAAATGGGCTTGCACCTACTAATTTAGACAATATAGAAGTTGAATATATATCCAAGTTATTAATAAGACTGGTTTTCTATTACATATGTTATTATTTCATTAGAAAGCTGAAGTTAAATGGTTATTCTGTTTATCCACCCAAAAATAGCCACCGACGGGTGACTACTCGGAAACACTTGTTCAACAAACTATTTGCATTTTGTAAAATTATACCTATTCACGACAAAGTTGAACTAACATTACTAACTGAAAATTACTTTACTGAAAATTTTAAAAAGGTAGATAAGTTATTATACTCGGCACGCAGAACTGATAATCTAAAACTGCAATTACCTAGATATAATAACTTATACGGAAAAAGAACTTTAAACTATGTTATACCTAATCTAGTCAATCAGTTACCTAAATCTTTGAAAGACGTCATTACACGTAAAAACAAAATATAAATTAAATTTTTTTTGTATACAATTAACTCTTACTAAATACTCGTAACACTTTAAACAAATTCTCGTTCTATATTATTGGTTTACTTTACCAAAATATTATCTTATTATAAATTTATGAAAATATATATTATAATCTGCCTGTATCACGATTATTCACAGAATGTAATAAGTTCACCTTGTGATTTTACGCTCATCGCCTAAAACTATTTTATATTTTTGTACCCACAAATAGTTTGTCAATTAGAAACATAACATTTAATGCACCTAATTTAAGTTGATAATAATATTAATGCAACTTTGGTAATGTAATGTATTATAAAGTGTAAATTAGAGTAATGTGTCGACAGCAATGGTGCGTACTCTAAGGAGTTTATGTTTACAACTATTATTTTATCATAAATTTCTTAAATAAATAGATAAATAAATCTATCCACCCCAGGGGTGGATGAACAGAATTCACTTCTGATTCTTCTTCCAACTTTTTACCCAAAGTACAGTTAACAATAAGTATACTCATACACCTTTATATATTATTAATTAATGATTACTTAAAATAAAATGATGATTAAGTCTATATGCAGTGGTGATGTATGAATATCCACCAGCTCATATCGTTCCATGGGTGTTATAAGA